ACATTCTGAGAAAAAGAAACTGAGAAGGAACGATCAGTGAGGTAGGAGGAAGTGTGGTGTGATGGAAGCCAAGTGCAGAAAGTGTTTCAGTGGGAGGCAGTGATCATCAGTGCCGAGATGAGGACCGAGAATTGACCACAGGATTTGACATCAGAGAGGTCATTGCGACCCTCACAGGTATGTTTTTAGTGGAGTAACGGGCAAAAGGCTGATTGGACTGGCTTCAATAGGTGAGCAGAAATGAGGAAGTGATGCTTACTGAATGGGTGAAAATTGGATGAATGAAGAAATGATGTCTTAGAGAGGATTCCGCGATTGGTCAGGAGCCAAAAGAGATAAATGAGTCATTTTGAATTCTTGGCATCTCTGAAAAATTCCCAAGTAGAAACAAGGATGTGATTTTGGGGTAAATGACAACAGAATTCCAGGCAGTAGGGTGACCCTAGGGAGGATTCGGTATGAGTTTTGTTGTGCTTCATTTCATCTCCTCTGGCCCCAGTTCACAAAGTCCTTTATGCAGGTCTTCTCAGCAGGGGCCTCAGGGAAGAGCTGACCCTGCAGGGACTTGGGTGTAGAATTTTCAGAGACTATTTCCAAACACGTCTTGTTAGTGTATGGGGTTGTTGTTAAGAAGCCTATAAGGCTGGCTGTCACCCTTCTGTGGACTGGACTGCACCAAGTCTGAATAGTCAGGAAGGGGGGAATGGGAAAACCTGCCCACCCAACAGTGTATTTGAAAATGCTGATTTCAAAGTATTTCTATATAAAAAGTTTAAATAATAATGGAGATGGGCTCAGTGATCACCTAGATTTGATGAATAAGTAGGCTGTTCTTACCTGTTGCCCCCTGGAGTATAACAGTAATGAAATATGAGGAATACAGACCTTGGGTAGATCAGACCCCAACTTTGATTTCATGCTGTTCTCTATGTGATATTCCTCAAATAGTCAAAGTTTCAAAGGCACCTTGGTACAGATTCCATATAGAATGTGGTTTTACTTACATGACTGAGAACAATACATTCCCCTCTATCACTTATGGGATGTCCAGGGCCTGGATTGTGAGATAGAACCAGCCATAGAATAATTGAAGAACCTCCGGTTGTACCATGTTTCCCGTAGTTCTCCAAATGCATAGTGTGCTCTTATTTGTCTGTCCTTTGCCCATGCTCTTCCCCGTACCTGCAATACCCAAATACTCTTCTTCCTGTTGTGCTCAGCTCTGGGAGCTCCTTCTGTAGGAGGCCTTCCCCACCCTCTGAGACAGAAACAGATCACCTCTCTGTGCCCCTCAAACCATTTTTGTGTGTAACCGTCTCCATACCTACCACAGTGAACTCCAATTGTTTACTCTCCTGGCTCCCTTATTAGGCTGTGAGTTTCTTGAAGTCTGTAATTTTGTCTTATTTCTATTTTTATCCTTTGCATCTAGAATAGTGCTTGTACATTTTGAGCACGTAATCAATGTTTGTTGAATGGATGCATGAATGCTTGAGTGTGTGAATGAATGAGGGAATGAATACGTGAAAAGATCAGAAAAAATGTTACCCACTAAATTGAAGCTAATAAAAGAATATCAATGACTTTACATATTATGCAGAATTTGTGTTTATATAAAGGTATTCTCCAAATCCAACTGAGATGACAAGATTATTGCAATGTAATGCATAAGGAGAGGGGAGTGATACACACAATTGGCTCCTAATGTGTGTGGCACAAGATGATGAGAACCGTGCTGATGAAAAGCAGAGCTGGGTAGTAGCAACGGACTGGTTTAGATCTAGATTTTTGAAAGAGATTTTATCTGTGGAACACATGAATATTTGGGTCTTTGCTATTTCTTTTAAGCAAGATATTTTTCATTTTAAAATTTAAGGACAAGGTACACCTTAATAAACATGTTTATCTAAAGCATAGTTTTATTATTCATAGTTTTAAAATTTTTTTCCATTAAAAAAATGAAAAATAAGCCAGCTGTGACATCTCTAAAATGAAAGTTACATTGAACCAGTCATTTCATTCTCACATGCCTCAGTTTCTTTCATGCGTAATTTGCAAAATGGTAACAGCCCTTACTAGTATTTACATTATAAAAGTGCTGTAACTGTAAATTAGGTAGTCTAGAAGGGCTTATGATGTCTTCTTTGAAAGACAAGCATTATACACAAATGAGGTATTATTATTTAGTTTTTCCTTTTCAATCCTGTTGAATGAGAATTAGATGAAAACTCTGCTTTAAGCAATATCCATTGGGTTAATGATTATTGACGAGTGAAATGAGAAAAAAATCTTTAGCTGATAACTCAGTGTGTGTAGCTTACCCTGTCTGTGCACAAGGCAAAAATATTGTATGCGTGTGTGCTATTTACCATTGTTTTTTATCTCTTCTCTGTGCTCTAATCACAAGCTGAAGACAGTTAACCCTTTCAGTTCAGTCATAGTGTGCCTTGTAGCGATCCCAGGTATCCTGAAATGAAATGATGTTTCCACTAATCAAGCCATGCAGCTGGTTTTTGTATTGATTTAGGGCCTAAATTAACTGTGTCAGGCCTTTACTTCCGCTCCTTGTTTTTAGTATAGGGACAGCTATTACTGCAACCTCTTCAGCCTAGTTACCACCAATGCCTATGTTCACCCCATAGCACTCCTCAGCTAGAGTTTCCTATCATCTTCTTGGAATACAAGGTTACAATGGCAGGAGAGGGGGGTTGTAGAAATAAGGATTGGGGAATTACGAATGTCAGAAGCTTCACTTTGTATCATGAAGGGCTGAAAACTGTACCCTGGGAGGATTCAGTGCAACAGAGAGCTGGTGGTGTTGTACCCAGCTGTACAGCATAATCGTGTCTGGCCTCTGTATGTACGTAATAGCTTCAGTTCTTTGGTCGCTGCTCTTGGACTGCCCCCTGTCCCTCCCCTCTTGTCCAAAATGATGTCCATCCTTTATGTCCTAGTTCACCTTCACTCCTAGGACCAACCTTCAGCATTGCTTGCAGATATGGTCATCTGTTTTCCACCTGGCTCATTTATTTTGGCTTCTGGATTTTCTCAGAGAGGCCTCCTGCTTGGAGAGCTGCTTGGCCAGCTGTGGGGCCAGCTGCCTGTTCCAGACTCCAAGGTGATCAACTCCTCTCCCCTCCCTTTCACTGGTCCCAATACATGAGCCATGACAATAGGTGAGACACAATGACCGTAATCGTGTCTGACCAGATTCGTTCCTATGCAGGTTATTTCATTGGTGGACTGCTCAGAGAGGTCAGGTATGCATTCATATGTCACAGTGGGCCTTGGTCCAGGAAGCCTGTGTGGACCTGCGAGTCCTGGTGACAGGGGCAGGTGCAGAAGGCAAGTTAGGAGGAGCACACAAAGGCAGATTTGGTTTCCTCTGCAGTTTTAGCCAAGTGCAGCACTGGTTGTTGGATCGCTGTCCAGCACACAGGGCATGTCTACCACAAGCTTTGCCATGTAGTTAGCTGACCTCATATAAAGGTGATAAGGGATCTCGAAGATCCTTTAAGGTGAGCCTTCATGGTGATCCAGTTTCCCCATGCTTAGGAAGAAAATCTAAGGATTATGTCTGCCACTTTTAAGGCAAAAATTTGAAACAGCTGCCTACATTCTTTGGTTTCACTTATTCCTCAAATCACCCTGACTTGATTTCCGCTTCTGCCGACCCTGCTCCTTGCCGGACGGGCAGGATGTCTCCTTGCTGCTCACCCGGTAGGCGCTTCTCAGTCTTCCTTTGCTGAGCTCTTGACAGTATTTTCCTTTGTTGACCACAACCCACTTCTGGGAAAGTGCTTTTCCCTTGTCCTCTGTGATCCTTACCTTCTTGTTTCCCTCCTATGTCTCTAGCTGCACTTTCTCACTCTCTGTTTTTCAGGGATCCTTTCTCTGCCCATCCTTTAAGCTTCGGTGTTCCTCTGGGTTCCCTCCTTTTCTCTTCCCTAGCACAATCTCCCAGGGTATCTCATTCATCCCTGTGAACTCTATTGTTGTCTGTCATGTACTGATGACCCCTAAACCTGTATCCTCGGACTTCTAAGTCAAACTGCCTGCTTCTGCTCAGTGAACATTCCCCAGGCATCACAAAACAGGCACGTCCAAGGCTGAACACATCACCTTCTCCCCCAAACCTCCTTGATTCTGTATTTGGATTTTTGCTATCTTATTGAGTAGCATCACTATCCACGCTGTTGTTCAAGCCAAAAATCCAACCCCCAGGCTTGACTTCTTCCCCTCCAAAACTCCATAATTTAATCAATCACAAATTTCAGTAGATTCTACCTCCTCTATAACACAGCTTGTAAATTTCTGCATCATTTGGTCGTGCTTACCTTTCCAGTCTCATCTCTGACTCTCTGGCTGATACTCTGCTCAGCTATACTGAACTACTTTCAGCACTCAGATACTCAGCATGCAGTCGTTTCTGTTACTTCCAAAACTTGCATATGCTGGGCCCTCGGCCTGAAACAGACTTCTCCACCTCCTTATCTGACTAACTCCTTCACACCTTGTAAGTGTCCATGTAGAAGTCACTAATTTCCAATTCTCCCGAAACCTAGATTAGGTGACCCTCCTAGAGCTCTTGGTACTTTTCTCTTTGTAACACACAACACACTGCTTTATCAGAGCTGCCTTTCATGTTTCTATCTTACCCTCTACTGTGAGGTTCCTATAGCAGGGACCATATTTATTCTAATTCACTTTTGTATTCCTAGCACCAACAAAGGATTTCAAACAAAAGATGAGTAGATTACAGTGAATGAATGAATGAATGAATGAATATAAATATCAAAAGTATCATGGCGAGAATATAAATTTCCAATCAGAGGATGCAATTAATATTTTGCTAAACAAGGATTTATCAAGTCTCTCTAATATCAAAGGGATTTGAAGATTAAAAATATTTACAAGAACTTATAAACATTAGAATCATGAGCAAAGAGTAGTTAATAGAGGTAGATTTCCAATCTGTCCCTTATGGGTTTCTTTTCCAGAGTTCAATATCCAGACTCTTGGAGCAGTGTTTTGGGGTCACCCAAGCATTCCATCCTCCTGACTCTCCATAGACTGTTGGATTCATAACCTACTCCACACTTGAGATCATGGGGATTGGAATAAGGTAAGTGTGAGCTTTTCAGTTTTTTCTCTGTTATTTCATTTGCAACCATATACTGTACCTGTGGAGCAATACTTCTAACATTCTCCCCTCTGGAGTCTTCATCAGATGTGCCTGACCTCCTGGCTAGTCTGGTTGTTCTTATAGTGTTTGAATATGCTACGTGTATGAAGATGTGTTGTGAGGTCTCCTGAGGAATTGTGTCCTTTCAAATTTTCTTTTTTGTTTCATGACTATCTAAATTCTTCACCATTGTTCTATTGATTTTTTTTCTAATGTGACTCCACATAGAAAAAAGTGGATGTTGACAAATCAGAAAGACTTGCTGCCCACTCTGGGACCCCCTTTTGGGTCAGATGCACATGAAGAATGCAGGGCATGGGTAGTACAGGCAGGCTGCACGACCAGCTCTGCTTCAGCCACGCTGCCCACACACAACCCCCACTCCATCCCACTGTCAAGCTTCTCCACCCCTTACCTGCTTTTGTTTTTCATATCACTTAGTGTTACTTATTTATCTTCTTATTTGTTGATTGCCTATCTCCCCTACTAGGATGTAAGCTTCATGAGGGCAGGGATTTGTGTTGTTCAGCAGTATATGCTCAGCACTTGGAACAGTATCTGGCACATAGAAGGTACTCAGTAAATATTTGTTGGTTGAATGAATGATGACTTTTAAAAGTTGGGTTTTTTTTTTTTTCGGGGCCGGCCCGGTGGCGCACTGCTACAGTGCGCCGCTTGGGAGCGCGGCGGCACTCCCGCCGAGGGTTCAGATCCTACATACAGACCGGTTCCCGCTCACTGGCTGAGCGAGGTGCGGGTGCAACACTGAGGGCTGCGATCCCGTTGCCGGTCCCGGTCCGGTACGGGCGCGACACTGAGGGTTGCGATCCGTTGCCGGACACGAAAAAAGAGACAAAAAGGAAAATAAATAAATAAATAAAAGTTGGTTTTTTTTTTTTAAAGACTAATGCAAACCCGGGTCTCTGGGGATCTAATGCAATTCTCGCTTAAGTCCCCTAATACTTATTGGTGACTCAGATGACAACACTGATGGCATACTGAACAAATTTACAGATGACACACAACTAGAAAGGATAACAAGTAAGTTGGAGGATAGAATCAGGATTCCCTCCCCTCATATTCTGACAAAATGTAATAATGAGTCATATCTAACAAAAGGAAGTTTGATGGGTACAAATATAAAGAACTCAAAGATCCTGAAATTCAATTGTATAAGTACAGGGTGGGGGCGGGATAGCTTACAACTGCACACATCAGGAAGATTTAGAGTCTCCTGTTGATTGTTAGGTAGAAGATGAGTCAACTCTCTGTGTGACTTAGCTTCCAAAAAAATAAACCTTTTATTTGTTGTATCAATAGAAGTACAGTGTTTAAGAGGGGAACTAGCTGTCTAGTACTCACTGGTGATCAGGCCACATTTGTTCTGTTTTATGAATTCTGGGCTTCAGACATTCAGAGATATTGACAAACAAGATTATTTGAGAAAAGTAAAAAGGATAATAAGGGATCTGGTAAACAGCGTTCTTCAGAAATAACAAAAGGATTGGAGGGTGGGGGGGGTGTTTGAAGGGGAGGGAGATAAGTAGCATAGATTGAGGGGCTATCCAACAGAAGAGAGATTTAATTTCTTCTGGGTAATCCTGAATGACAGATTGAGGACCGGTGAGTGGAAGGCATAAGCATGTATATTTCAACCCACTAGAATTTATCAACAATTAGATTTGCTCAGTAATCAAGTGGACAACTACTGGAGGCAGTAAATTTCCTGACCCTGGTGGTATGGTGCCTGCAAGTTGGGCAGTCCTGTCCCTTTTGATGGACAAACACTGGGGTGAGGGAGGGGGGAAAGTAAGATTTATCATAATAGCAAACACTTATTGAGTGCTTACTGCATGGAAAGCAGCATGAGTGAGTAACATGGTTATCTTTTCTAATATTCACATCAATCCTACTATCTCTATTTTTCAGATGAGAAAAGTAAGGCTTAGAAAGGTTAAGGAATTTTCCCAAGGTCTTACACCTTAGTACAAAACAGATACGGGATTTGAACCTAGGCATTCAGATCTGTGACCTTAATTGTTATTCTACAAGGACCCTTACCTCTAGAGAACTATTCTTTTCCACCCTGAGATTATCAGTCTAATGATATAACCAAACTAAGGAGTTTATTGTCTCAAGGGGTAGATGATTCTATAGCATATGGGTTCCTTTTATATCTAGTATGCAGGGACTAAATTAGTCTGGGAATTTGCCACTTGTAGTGCACTATATGGAGCCCAGCATAGGACGTGGCACACAGTAGGTGCTCAATAATTATTTATTAAGCGAAAAGAATGAACAAATGCAACCACACAAAATTGGCTGCATCTGAAATGACAGAATCTCAATATATTGCTCCTGAAGAAAAACAAGCATGTTTCTGGGTGGTCTACTGAGAATGCTCAGCAAAAGTGATATGTCATTCCTGGAAAAGCCTTGAGAATTTTTGCTCAATCATTTGGACAATATCCACTAAATCGAGTATTTATTGAGTACCTGTCCTTTGTCAGGTAAGCCCAATGTGCTGAGGGTGCAGAGGTGAATCACAGGATGCACTGTAGTGGGGGACATGCACAGGTAAGCAAACGCCAGTGATACAGTGTGGCAAGTGCTGTAGCAGGTGTGTGTGTGTTAAATATTATGGAAGCACAGAGCAGAAAGGGACTAATTCTACTTGATTGAAGGAGTTGTCTAATTCTTGATTACCCTTTAAAAATAACTCCACATATGATATATTATTTGAGTTTGGTCTTCATAAAGACCATGTGAGATTGTGACCCCTTCTTGTAGAGAAGATGAAATAGAGTCTTATAGAGGTTAGATGAGATCGCCACGGTCATGCAGCTAGTAATAATAATTGCTAACATTTATTGAGTGCTTAGGATACCTGAGGCTCTATTCTAAACCCTTTAAAAACATTTTATCCTCACAACAACCCTATAAGGTAGTTATTGATATCATTGCCACTTTATAAATGAGAAAACTGAGGCACAGATTTAAATGACTTGCCTAGAATCACTTAGCTAGAAAGTAGAAAACCAGTATTTATATCTACACAGTCTGGCTTTAGCAGGCACATACTTACCTACTATCTTAACTAACCCCCTGGAAAGCTGGAACTCACACACTTGGACTTCGACCCCAAGTTCAGTTTTCTTTCAAGAGACCTTGCTCTTTAGCAGATGTTACACCTCAATGAGAAGAAATGGTAATGTAGATACAAGGTGGGTTATGTAGGTCATGCATCCATGGTGTTTTGGGAGAGGTATGGTGAAATCCAGAATGTACATTAACATAACCTCTGACAAGCATCATGGTACAAGCTTTAGATTTTCTGTTTTAGGTATGCAGGGTTTTGGGGGGCAGCCAGAATTTGGTCTGTTCTTTTCTGGGTCAGCAGTCAGGGCTCTAGAGATTGTGACTTGTTACTCATAGGAACTAGCCACCAACACTTATCCTGCAGCCTTTTGAAATCTAGTTTAAATTTTTCTAAAAAGAAGAAGACAAGATGTAAAACATTAAGAATGAAACAAGTGAAATTCAATAGTTTGTATATTAGTGAGACCGGAGATAAAGAGAAGGAGAAATAAAGCACATAATTGCTTAAATTGTCCAAGCTTTCTATGATAAAAATTCTTGGATTAAAAAATAGTTCAATCTAATATTATTGTGCCTTAATAATTAAGTTAGTTTGGCTCTGTGGCAAATCTGAGATAGAATTGGTTATTCAGATTGATGAAGTAGATTACCCCTTCCCCAATGATTATACTTATGTTAATGTCGACATGACCTATATAATCAAAGCTACTGTGTTTTTAAGACACCCCTCTCCCATAATTTTTGGAGATAGGGTAATTTTAAAATCAACTGCAGGCTGGGATTTCTGTAGTAGGCAGTGGGGCAGAAAAAGGCAGGTGGGGTTTTGGGGTTTTGTTTGTTTTTTGGTGTTTTGTCATTTATGGAGATTAGTAGATTCAACTGATTACCTTGCCCTTTGTGTTTATGGATTTCTTTTTTCTTGGCTTTGGGTCCTTGGAAACATTTGTTTTGACAGCAGCAGGAGAGTTTAGTCATGTTTTATTTTTGTTGTTCTTATTTATTTCTATTATCCCTTAGTTCAAGTCCGCTTACAAGGTGTCATTTAACCTGTCTTTGTGTCTCCACAAATGAAATGTTCTTAGTAGTAACTCTAGTTCAGCCTTATAGGAATAGTTAATTTGATGTCCAGTTAATGCCCATCAGGATGATTCTGCAGTATTAATAGCTAGAACACAGGTATGTTTTATAAATCATGTTTGAAATTTATAATGGGATTTAGCATTTAGTATGTGAAATTTCAAGTTTCCTAGATCAATTATTTTTCATACAGATTCTTATAAACATGTTTTTCCTTTTCATCACTGAGTCAACAAAAGTTGGAAAATCTTTTCTCACATATTCCATTCTTTAACTAAGCCTGAAGATGAATTGCTTTAGAAAACCACATCCCAAACAAACGGTTTTTTATAAAGCTATAACTAAACGAATAGGGTAGGCTCTGCTGGCATTTGAGGTAAACGTCTAATTAGAACTCTCAGTATTTCAAACATATAATTTACTAAAGTTGAGGCTTTTACTTCTTAACTCTGAGTCCATTGGGATGAAACAAGTGACCCTTGTTGGAAATATGTCAAGAATCAGCTTTCTCAGGTTGATCTTTAGTTTGACGGTCACCGAGTGAAAACACTGGTTACTCCCAGGCTTAAAGATGTCTGAACCTTCTTAAGTTTGTTAAAAGATCAAGGCAGAATGCTAGCACTGCTTTGCTGCTGTGAAGAGCAGATTGCCCTCTCCTTTCTCCTGGATCCTTTAGTTGATTTCTGCATGAGAGCACGTTCCCCCAAGGCTGGCTCCATCTTTGCTCTGGCACTAAGTTACCGTGCACTTTCTGTGCTTCTGCC